TTCCCGCATTGGCCGAGAGCTCAAAAACAGAGATGGCTCTGTGGCCCCACGCTTCTGCAGGGTCATTTGCAAAAATGAATCAAGCAAACGTAAATTCATTTACACTATAAATTCACTTGCCAAAACCAACACCAACCATAAGAACCTCCGTTGTCGCCCTGACCTAACCATACAGCAACGTGCCCGCTCCCATGTACTCCGCACTGAACTCAAAAAACGTCTAGACAATGGAGAGGACCTGTACATTGACTACCATGCTGACTGTATCAAAAGTAAGTCACACAACCCGCAACTCAGCTTTAACCTTCAACCACAACCCTACCACCATCACCCAAGACTAGGCACGCATGCCCCTAACTACCTCAATTCCAACTATTGCTGGCCTTAAATGCAAGCTACTCAATGCAAGAAGCCTTGCGAATAAAATACCTGAATTTCTCCTCTTACTAAATATGGCTAAATTCGACATCATATTTGTCTGTGAAACATGGCTCAACGCATCTCTCCTTGACTCCATTACCACAGTAAGAGACTATCATGTTTACCGATCAGATCGTGAAATTCATAGAGGAGGTGGTGTTGCTATCTTCTATAAAAAGTCCTTACATCTAAAAAACATCCAAGTTACCCAGGAGCTTGCTCTTCCTGTGACCATCATCGGTGAACTATCCTTAAATATCACATTTCGATTCTTACTATGTTACAGAGCACCTGATTATGACATCGAACATGTAAACAAGCTAAATACACTACTAACATGGGCAGCATCCTGCCCACACGCTTTTATCTTTCTTGGTGACTTCAATCTACCTCATATTGACTGGACCCTAAATGAATGTACAACTGAACCCATACATGCAACCTTCTACAATGCTGTTACAGATCTGGGACTGGAACAACTAGTAACCAACAACACTAGACTAAACAACTGCCTCGATCTCATCTTCTGCAATAGTTTGAATTTAATTTATGGAATACAAACTAAAGAACCCTTTTCCAGCAGTGACCACAATATGATTGACTTTTGTCTCAACATACGCCCACACAAAAATCATCACAATGACATAATCCCCAATTATAACTTCAAAAAAGGCAACTATGATCTTATAGACAATGATCTCTCATCCCTTGATTGGCAATCTCTTTTCACTGCATGCAATACTGTTGAAGACCATTACAACATATTTTTACTTGAAGTCAAAAGAGTCATCAAACTATATGTACCAACAACAACTCCCAAAACAAAAAAAGATTACCCATAACAATAAGGAAACCAATCCAAAAAGAGATCACTCTGGCGGAAAAACAAATCACGTTGCCAATTTCAAAAGCCGATACAAAAATTTATGCCACCAGATAAAGACTGAATGCACCAATTATCACATTAAACAAGAGGAAAACCTTCTATGCACCAATTCCACCCGCGCTTTTTACAATTTTGTAAACAACAAACTAAAAGACTCAAGGTCCATCCCACCCCTGATAGGACCTAATGGTAAAGACTGCAACGACGACACCATTAAAGCCAACATCTTTAAGACATTCTTCGGCTCAGTATTTGTAAACAACAATGGATCATGCCCAGTATTTCTTAGCCGAACCACAGACAACTACAATGATCTAATACATATTGATTTTACAGAAGACAATGTTGAAAAAGCACTACACAATCTAAAACCATCTCTATCTATTGGACCGGATGGAATATGTGCCTACTTCTTAAAAAAGCTATCCACTGCCATAGCCAAACCTCTAAGCATAATTTTTGAAAAATCTTTCAGGACCAGTTCCTTGCCTAACCTATGTGTTGTAATGACGAGGCAGTCGAGTTGTTTGATCATGAACAACTGAATCATGATGATCTTTATTGGAGTCTAGTCTTGCATTTATACACATTTTTAATTATCCTCCATCATTGGTTAACTTTTGTTACTGCTTAACTTTCGTTACTGTTTACCACAGTAATCCATACAATTAATTATCTCTAGTTAAAGTCTAACATATGTTTACTTCCTCTCTCTAATCCTCCTTTAGATTAGTGACTTTGTTTACCTGAGTTATATTTGCTTGGAAACATTCATCTGAGGTTTGCCATCCGAGATTGGAACATTCCTGCAATTACAACTCTACACCTATGGTCACAAGCCACAGTCATCCCCATCTTCAAAAAGGGAGACCCCAGCCTTGTTGAAAATTACAGACCAATCTCCTTATGCTGCGTCACCTGTAAAGTCATGGAATCAATTATTAACCAATCCATTATCCTCCACTTAGAGACAAACAACCTACTCTCCAATAAACAATTTGGTTTCAGGAAAAAAAAAATATTGTAATCTGCAACTCTTACACTGCAAAAACATATGGACTACACAACTCGATCAGGGCAAAGCAATAGACGCAATCTACATAGACTTCTGTAAAGCCTTTGATTCAGTGGTACACGACAAACTACTAAAACTAAAATCTTATGGTATCTCTGGACAACTGCATAACTGGATAGAAGCATTCCTGTCAAACAGACAACAAATGGTCAAAATTGGGAGTGTCCTATCAAATTCTGTACTTGTCAATAGTGGTGTCCTCCAAGGCAGTGTTCTAGGACCAACTCTCTTCATATTCTACATAAATGACCCCTGTGATCATATTAAGAGCAACTGCGTTCTTTTCGCTGATGATGTAAAGCTGTTCAATACCACAGACAATACTGCTACCCTTCGAAAAGACCTTGACTATGTATCAGAATGGTCAAACAAATGGCAACTTAAAATCTCAACAAATAAATGCTCTGTCTTACATATTGGCAAAAAAAATCAGAAAATAAAATACAAGCTGAATAATCAAGTTGATGATCCAAGCTCTGTAAAGGACCTTGGAATACTCATCTCTAATGATCTAAGTGCTAGAGCCCACTGTAACTACATAGCCAAAAAGGCATTAAGAGTTGTTAACCTAATCTTATGTAGCTTTTTCTCTGATAATATCACACTACTAACTAGAGCATACAAAACATTTGCTAGACCAATACTCGAATACAGCTCATCAGTCTGGAACCCACATTACGTATCTGATATTAGCACAGTTGAGAAAGTCCAGAAATATTTCACAAGAAGAGTTCTCCACTCCTCTACTCGTTGTAGAATACCTTATGCCACCAGATTTGAAATTCTAGACCTAGAAAACCTTGAATTACGCCGTCTTCGGTCTGATCTACGTATGGTATATAAAATCATACATTGCAATGTCCTACCTGTCAATGAATACTTCAGCTTCAACCATAACAACACAAGAGCACACAATAGATACAAACTCAAGGTTAACCGCACCAAATTTGATTGCAGGAAATACAACTTCAGCAACAGAGTGGTCAATGTCTGGAATACTCTACCTGACTCTGTGGTTTCTTCCCCAAACCCCAAAACTTTAACCTTAGACTGTCTACTATTGATCTCACCCCTTTCCTAAGAGGTCTGTAGGGGGCATGCATAAGCGCACCAACGTTCCTACCGTCCCTGTCCTATTGTTTCTTTTATTTTTCTTATATGTACCCATTTCATGTATTCATAACTATGTGTATACTTATACCTATTATCTTGTAAGCGATTGACAAATCAAAATAAATAAATAAATAAATAATTAATAATAATAATAATAATAATAATAATAATAATAATAATAATAATA